TGTCCCGGGCTGTAGGGTTGCAGGGGGGGGTTGCAAGAGGATTTTTTTTTTTTTTTTTTCAGGGGTCAGGTGTGGGTTCGCCGGGGCAGGGCTGACTCGTGACCCCCCTCAGCTCCAGCGGAAGGACACGTGTCGAGGGCGGTCGCCCCCTTCCTTCACCAGTGGCTTGTGAAACTCTCGGCCGGCTCGCGAGTGGATGCTCGCCCAGCAGTACTCACAGTAGTACTGCAGGCAGGTGACGTTGGCACAGAAGAAGGGGGCGAACTTCCCCCCGCAGCGTGCCCCCTGGCACTCATCACACATCTGGTCATCCAGGACGTATGGCTTCACCTCCACCTGGGAAAGGAGAGCGACAGGTAGAGTTTAGTTTATGATCTTCCACAAACATGGATTAAAACAAAATCAGCTGAAGTATTTTAATCTTATATTCACATTCCAGGGGCCAGCTGCACAAAACACCTGAAGTTAAGTTCCTTGAAATAAAAATGGTTTTACAAAACACTTAAGAAATCAGTTAAAGTCAGTAAAACCATTGCGCAAAAGACCTTAGCAACCAAACTAAGGAAACTGCGACTTAACCGCAACCTGACCGAGAAAGTGAATGCATCGTAAGAAGAGTGGGAGAACCCAATGGACACCCTTATTGATGAGGAATTGATTACAGATTTGACCAGTAGTCAATTTGTGATTAAGTTATCTTTTTTCCTTAAGTAAGGAAACCTTTTAAAAGATTCTGTGCAACACCCTTAAGTAACTCCCTCAGCTAAGGAGAGATTAAACCATAAGGGTTATACTTAAGTGGAAAACTTAAGGTGATTTGTGCACCAGTTTGTTATCATCTTCTTCTGACCCATTTAACTTTTGTACTAGTTTTCTATGTCAGATCAATACACTGTAAACCCAAGCACAAACAATATGTCAATGTGCTAAAACAACAGCTATGTGGATCCAGGTGTGTTAGCTCCTTTAAGCCACCAGCCTGACATGCAATTTTCTAAAATAAAGTCGAGGCAGGTATCCTCCCGTCCACCAGTGAAATGAGTTTGACCACTAAGCCAGGGGACAAGAAATGAGAGCTCAGTCTCCATGGAGACGCCTCAGTGCATGAGAGAGCAGGGGGCGGATGCTAACCTTGTTATAGTGTGGCCACAAAATGAAAGGTTATCAAATCCTTCAACAGTGGGACACCATCATTCTCAGCTAAACTCTGCAACAACTACACTGCAACATCCACTGCTGTGAGCCACAACCGTACACAAGTAAACTGAGAGGAAGGACGGGCAGTGCTGCAGTGTTATTAAACACCGATATCAACTCTGTGGACATGAGTCCAGAGGTGATAAGCTCCTATGTGATATCATCGGGAGCCATGTGCAGTGATGGATTTGTTATTGTTGAAGGTGAGAAAGAGAAAATTAGGAAGAACTGTGACAACAACAGGAATCCTTGTTCCAAACCACGACTCTGATGTCAAGCTAACGGAGATTCCGCAATGAATACAGATTCTTTAACAGTGTCATTTCTGTCAACATTCATCATTTTTGTCACTAACCAGCTGTAAGTTGACTTGATTCTTGAAAATAAAAGAAAATCAATTAAGTGGTTCAAAAGGCTGTTTTTTTTTTGTTTTGTTTTTTTAAAGGAAGGTCTTTAGTGTTATTTTCTTTGACTTGTTTTGAACGTCATTTGTTTTCCACCCCGGTTCCAGTCAAAATAAAGACACTCCCACAAAAAACCCCCCCCTGAAGATAGATGGTGATAGCTGAGGAAGGGTGGACCGCCCCGCCCTAAAGAGGCTCGGCTCCCTGGCCGACAACCAGTCTCTCTCGGTCACGATCTGTCCCGCTGCAATTGGCCGGCGTGCCTAAAATAAGCAGGCTGCAGCACAGCCCCGGTGGATATACATGTATAGGGAACTACTATAATTAAACCAACCCTATGTGTCTGCAACTTGAAACATCTGTCGGAACTCCCGCACCCATAGGCCTTAGTGATTACACAGCCAGGCCCGGCCTTCCGTTATTGTAGGCTGTGCGGAGCCGTTGGCTGAAAACCCCGGCTATAATGAAAGCTCTGATACATGGGAGAGGGCTCAGGCTGAGTTCAGCTCTGCTGCATGCCATAGGAGTGACTGTGAAAACCTCAGCTGTGGTGGGGATGCTGCTTTCTTTCAGAGGAAGGATATTGTGAATGAAGTGCATGAACCCGCTCACCCTTTTGTCTATGTCATTGTGCTGCAGCTGAACGAAGCGAGCGCTGATGGCAGCAATGTAGCTCTGCTGATTGGAGAAGGCCACGCGGCCGGCTCCCTTTGGGTATTTGAGCTCCGGGTCGGTGTCGATGCCAGCGTAGCAAACACCTCCATACAGCCGGTCCATGATCATAGCCAGCTCCACTGTGGAGAGGAAGGGAGGAAAAGATGAGGGGGGGGGGGGGGATTAGTGCTGCTGCCTCGTCCTCTCAGGAGTTTTTGTGAGTGAAAGACTGTTTGCTTTTGTCCTCAAATTGAAAGCCTTCAGCGTCTCTTAAAAAAACGAAAGAAGAGGTTTAACTTTTTTGATTGACGCTGTTATTAACTGACGTAAAAATCTACCCTCCTGCACTATTCATCAGAGCGGCAGTCTCAATCTGCTGGTATAATTAGTAGGGGTCACATTGCAGACAAGCCAGCAATGTTTATCCCAAGAACAGAAAGACTGAGCCTTCCATTACACCATGAATTCTTAACATGACGACCACTTGGCCGGCGTCCTGGAAACCCAAGTAGAGGATTGCTTTCTCACAGGGAGAACTTTTCATTACGGCCTCCAGGCTCTGCGCTCCATGCCAGTCGATGTTAGGAATCCAATTTAGAGGCTTTTGGGGGACCTCAAAAAAAACAAAAAAACAACAAAAAAAACATAGTCCATTCAAAGTAGTCAGTTACCTGCACGCAGAGGCCGTGGCACTCCCCCTACAAAGATGGTCTTGCGGGGGTCAAGAGGCTGGGAGCCGTCCATGACAAAGTCACTGTCGCTCAGGTTCCAGGGACGGATCTGGACCTGGGTATGAAAGAAGGAAGAAATGCAGTAATTAAACTTCCTGTAAATGTTTTAGCAATCCTTATACAATTCACTTTGTCCCATACTTCAGTTTATGACCAAACAGCCAATCATTCTTGACCTTACAAAATTCTGGGTCCGAAAAAAAGAACTGTAGTTTAGGACAGATGGGGGGGGGGGGGGGGTGGACATGTCACAACATAAATCTACTGGCTTTATCATATAAAAAAATAATGAAGTTGTCATTGTGCTGCAGCTGAAACAAAAATAGATCAATAATAAAAGATAATGAATGTCTGCCACTCACCGGTTTGTCTTTGATGGTGGGACTGGACACACACAGGTAGAGCTTGCCGTCCTCCTCGATGCAGGCGTCAATCAAAGCTTGAACAGAGGTCTCTTCCTGGAAGAGCAGGAAGGCGTAGCCTGGAAAGAAGAACAAACATGGATCTTAAGAAAAAAAAAAAAAAAAAAAAAAAAGCAGATGGTCACCAACAGAAACTACATCTGTTGCATTTAACAGTCATAACCTTGTGACTATGACACTTTAAACTCTGCCTTCTGGACAAGAATACAGAGACATGAGTATTTTTTTCTTTTTTTTTTTTTTTTTTTTTTACAGTGTCTACATTATACGAGTCACAATCCCATGACTGAGCCTCACAATTTTTTCCCCCTTGTTATTCGTAGTTTCAGACAACTTCGTCTCCACACAGGCAAACGACCTTGTGACCCGTTCCTCTGTCCTCACTCGCCTCGCTCTGTTTCCATAAGATGTTCTGCAGCCGGCAGCTTGCTGCTCGCGCTGCCTCAGATTAAATGGCTGAGAGTGCCCCGCTCCTAAAGGAACCATGCAAAATTGATCAGCCTAACACACTGCAGATCTGCCCTGAAAGGTGGGTCAGGTGGAGAGAGTTTGGTGGTGTCTCAAGGCAGAAAGAAAGAGTAATTCAGACAGTCACTCTGTACTATTGAATTATTTAGCATCGAGAGCGAAGACCTTATCCAAGGTCAGAGCTATTAAGCCGTTTTGGGAGGGACAGAGAACCGGCTCAATAGGGGAACATCCATCACACGCTGCTACAGGGGTCGGTGAGCAACGGCGCTCTGATTTATGGGCTGAACAAAATGAACACAGCACACTGAGAGAGGATGAAAATACAAGAGTCGAGAGCTCAAATCCACTTTCTGAAAGCCAAAAGATCAATGTGAATGTATCTGCGATGCTGTCAAAAAGCCGCAGACACGGGGTGCACGCAGCCACCTCTGAATGGCTCCTAAATTATTACTGCATTGCTCTGATTACGTTAGCAGAAGCCCAGCACCACCTGTGGCACCCATGAGTCAGGGGAATATGAGCTGCTGTCTGAGCACTGCAAGCTGGATTGGTAGGTATGCACAAGTGCACACGATCACATACACACACACACACACACACACACACACACACGCACACACACACACACACACACACACACAAAATGAATTGTTTCTACTGGAGTACACTCCGTCTCCAACTTCCAATTACTCTGTTTGTAGTGTCTCTCGAGACGACTACAGAAGCCATGTGTGTTCCGGCGTTCAGAAACTGTTACACTAACACACACACGCACAAACGCAGACACACACGCTTATGTCAACAGATGCGTGAGTGAAAATCGGCAAAGAGGAATGTGCAACTGTCATGTTTTTAACATTCCTGAGTGGAGCTGCTGCAGATGAGATGAGGAGAAAGGAGGAGAAAAAAAGGAAAAAGCCTGACTCGACAGACCCAGTCAACTGTGGTATGTGGATACGTCTGAGTGTGTGTGTGTGTCAGGGCAATGAGGGAGGAAGGGTGTGCTGCTGTAGAGGGGAGGGAGAGCGGGGGTGAATAAAAGCAGGACAAGAAAGAAGAGCGAGAGCATCAAAGGTGGAGCGGATAAAAGCAGGTGCGTACGCAAGTGTGTGTGTGTGTGTGTGTGTCCTCATGAGGACTCAGACAGCTGCTGCCCTGAGAGATGGCTTTTGTCTGGTCTAGACTGCGTGTGTGTGTGTGTGATGTGTGTTCTGACGCGTGTGACGTACCCTGTCACAATGACGTGGCGTCCTGACTACAGCAGCGATGACAATTTCTGACATTTGCATCTATATGTGCAGACATTTCTGTAGCTCACCATATGATGCACAAAGCTTCAGCATTATTATATGACGACACAGACGTGTAAGAAAACCATGTATGTGCACAGATTAGAAATAGGATCTAACGGCAGCATTTTCATGGCATCCACCGAACGTAAAACTGTTTCAGTTATTTTAAAGCTTTGTAAATGTGAGGATTCACTGCCCGTCTACTTCATACACGACAGTAAACTGTTGGTTGAATAAGGCAATATGACCATGTCATCATATCATGTCATTTGGGTTTTTTCACTATATTCTTACATTTTCTGAAAAAACGAAAAACGATTAATCTGTGACACAAGAAAATAAATTTAAGATTAATGGATACTAAAAATCTTGGGTCGTTGCAACCATAAAATGAAGAGAGATAAGAGAGAGAACATTAGACAGCCCACAGTCTCTCTGTGTGCCCCACATCCAGCCGTCTGCAACAGATATTGATTCTACAAAGTCATAACTCTGTCAAGATAAATCACCTTGTTGCTGACCAGTGTTACCACTCCAATAACACGACTTTAGCTAAATCATTGAAATTGAGAATTAAAAAAAACATATACAGCCTTAAAATGAAAAATCCTTGTCATAATTAACTTACTCAAAAGGTGTTAAATAGGAACAGCAACAGGAACATGAATAGGAATAGGAATGGGGAATATGAAGAGCAATATGAACAGGAACAGAAATATGCCATCAAGAGAAAAAAATGGTGTTGTAACAATGATAGTAAGAGCAGAGAAGGCGGTGAGTACGGAGAAGCAGGTGCATAAGGAGGCGTGCGTGTCCTCACAAGGACTGAAACACAAAATAACAGGCACCATAATCCTCCACGTGTCCCTTTTGGATCAATATAATACTTTGCTCCATGCTAAGACATTAGCATACTCAGAGTAAGGGGATTGTAGCATCTAGTCTTATGCAAAGTATCCACAGAGGCTTTTACTAATTAAACGTTTTTAGTGGTTCTTATGATGAGCCCTGTAGAGTCAAGTAACAGACTAACAACCTCAGTGGGGCTTTAATGTTTTTTCTCACAACAACTAACAAGCTGTTCCACTGCGGGCAAAACTAAATATTCTCAATGCAAAGCTAATCACAGTCAGCTGCTTTAAGTGACCAACTAATCTCTGTCTTTTTGTAACTGGTCCACAAGAGAGCCGACTCCTCTCTGGACCGGCCCCAAGAAATGCACAATTAGACTGGACATAAAGAGGATTTTGTGCATCGTCATCTTCCTCCACGCGCCTCGTCATCACCCGACTTAGGACCCCTGTCTCTATGTTGCTGGGTTACATAAAGAGGGTTTGTCATTGGGAGAAATCATGTGGTTTAACACTGACATCCCGCCTCAGAGAAACAACAGAGAACAACTGCAGTCTTGCACACACACGCACACACACACACACACACACAAACACAGTCACAGTCACACAGTCACACACACAAACGGCATGAAAAGGCAGAGCTAGCCAGCAGCTCATACAGTCTGAAGGAGGGAACAGCGTGTTCCATGACCCAGGGCAGGAGAGGGGCAGAGAGAGAGAGAGAGAGAGAGGGGGAGAGAGAGAGAAGAAGGAGGGGGAGAGGAGTGAGACACGTGGAAAGAGAGAGGGGGGGAAAAAAAGTGAGAAAAAGGTGGGAAGGGAAGGGGAGCATGAATGACTGCTTTACAAACAGAGAGGTCGAAAATACATAAATACATGGGAGGGGATGGGGAGGGCAGGGGGAGTCAGGGGGATATAAAGGCAGAGACAGACGCTGAGCTGCTACTGTTAGAAAGTTAAAAAACTGATGCGACAGACCTGGAAAGTCACACGATCATCTCCATGCCCTACACTCAATATCACACTGACCGTACTGTAATGGTGCTGTGTTAGCTTCTATTACGTCATTCAAACCTGTCAGGGCAATATCAAATTTACAGTTGAGGCAAATTTAATTTCTAAATAGAGATCAGTGATAAAAAATGAAAACTTCAAGAATTTTACAATCATAAAAAGCTCTGGTGGTGTCATTATTCATGCAAATGGACTGTATTACAGTTCAGTTTAAGTGGAATAAGATGCTTAAAATTTTATACATCACTTTGTAACAGGGTGCTTGCCAAGATCCCAGGTTACAGGCGTTTGTTATATAAAAAATGTAAAAAAAAAAAAAAAGCCTAAAACCTCCCATTAAAGCAGACTGGACCAGATTCCATAGGGCACTATGCCACTTTAGCGCTCTGATATTTAGTCTGAACGGTGCTTGGATCTGTCTCTTTTTCCATCAGCCTTGCGCAGTGCAGAGGCTTACACCACGGGAGGAGAGCGCAGATCTGCAGTGGCTCGTGCCTGAGATTTATAGGGGCTTTGCTGCTGAGCTCCCAGCACTGTCCGGGGAGGGTGAGAATACGTACATCCGCAGCATTTTCCATCCTAAAAGAGCGAGTGTTTACGGGCAAACGATACGCAGAGCACCTCGTGGGTCCTGCAGGCAAAAAACCGATGACCTCATGCAGGCCCGAGTCTTTTCCTGTAGCCGAGGCCAACAGTTTGACTCATGGCGAGAGAAACGTTTACCTCAACAACAACCTGATGACAATTACTGTAAAGACAGACACATTAACTCACTAATTGTTACCACTTAACCACAAACTGCTACCTAAAATTAGTATGAGGCTGTGCTTTACTGGTGTAAATGGTAGACAGGTATTAATGGAATAGTTTTGAGACCACTCTCATGTCTGTATGTTCACAGAGAATGGAAGTGGGGGAAACTGCCAGAAGTTACAAAATCTGGCAACCAACACCTCTAAAGATCACTAATAAACACTTGTGAGCACTCTTGTAAATTAAATCTGGGTTATGTGCTGGACTATTTCTTGGCTGAGGGCTAGTGCTAAAATAACCTAACCATGTCCTCTCTTTAGCATATGGGCATGAGTGGTCTCAATCTTCTCAACTAACCACAATATGTCATCTTCACACTTCAGTTCCTGTACGGATTCAATGAGATATAACTTGTTAACTAGTGAGTTTAATAGGTGCTGGTGGTCAGATTTAGTTTCCTTTGGACAGAGCTGTAGCTGTCTCCCCCGTTTCCAGACCCTATGCTAGGCTAAGCTAAGCTAACAGCTGCTGGCGGTTGCTCGGACATCAGAGTGATATCAATCAGTCCCGTCTAACTCTCTGCAAGACGGCAGATGAGTGCATTTATGAAAACATTTAACTATTCCTACCATGAAAATCAAATACAATAAATCAGAGCTCAAGACGAAACCTGCAGAAAATGCTAATATCTTATCAATATTCTTCTAGAACAGATGACTTACTCCATGTGACTCCAAAAAGAACTGGGAGAAAAACAATGGGAAGAACAGTGTGTTTATTTAGCCAATGACACAGATCTTTCATAATTATTGTATGTAACATGCAGTATTTGGTTTTAAATTTGGCAAATTTGCCCAGACTTGCTGATCATCTCAAGACCTCGTTTCTCTCCTTTCTTCTTTAGTTTGTTTGTTACTTGCTTGTTCTTTGCCTGTTGTTCTCATAGTGTGAAAAAAAGAAATTTAGTATTCAGTTGGTAACTGGAGCTAGCTGATGGTGACAACATCTGTTCCAAGAAATAAACTAAGTGGTATACAAACATCTCTCCACTGCTGTATCAAAGCTCCACTTTGAGATCCTCTTCTCTCCATTACCTCATCGACTGAAAGTTATGCTGACTTTGCAGAAATCCAATCCATGATGACTAGATAAACTGAGCGAGCACAGTCGCATCTCTCTGGCTTTAATAGTGACATTTAAATCCAGGCTTATCTTTTCATGCTCAGCAACCGACTCCAGATTTATTCCACACAGGTCAGCCCCAGTGAGAAACATATCAGAAAAACATGGGAACAAACAAGAGAGCAAACCTGCAGAAAACTTAGGTCTGCTCCAAAAGTCTACAGGCAGTTTTTCCGTGAGAGCCAAACCTCCATGTATACTATACATCCCGAGAGAGAGTAGGGAGGGAGGAAGAAATCTGCAGAGGGCTGTAACTCTGCCACAAAACGTAAACACACCGACTGCTGACAGCAGCTCACACGATGAGGGGAGAGGAGAAGAGGAGGAGGAAGAAGACTTGGAGGACTTGGCAGGATGGATGGAGGGAGACACAAGCATCTGCTCTCCTAAAAACAAATGCGGACCCTGAGGCTTAGGAGCAATTGAAGAGTAGTCAGTCATAGAGTAGAGGAAGGGGGTGAAACCAAGCATCGCTAATCATCTCAATTTGAAGAAGTCACTCACTGGATATAATCCAACAAGAGGGCGAAAAAGATAAACTGAGGCCTGAGAAACGCAGCAGGATGTCACACTGCAACTGTTGCCCCCTCAGCACTTCCCTGCTGCCACTCTTCAAACCCTGCTCCATCCACGTTAAATGGCAAAGAGAGAAAACACAGGCTTCTTGTTTTGAATGTACAGACCTCATGACATTATAAAAAAAAAAGAAATAAAAAAAAAAAGCTGATGATGACTGGCTGCAGTCAAAAAGCAAACTTCAGTTGTAACCTTTTGAAGCCGTAAGACGAGTGTGACACAGTGTTACTGCAGTCTGACGTGAGCGTTAGCATTTGTAGCAGTTTATAGCTCCCAGCGCTCGGGCTCCTGCGCACAGACAGCATCGCCTCCTCCTCCTTCTCTCCCCAATTACAGACAGAAATAGCTCCCTATCATTTCAAGCTTATTGCTAACAACAGCTAATGACAGTGGGCAACAGGAGAGGGTGCGAGCGGCAGCATCGCGGTGACCGGAGCACATTCGTCATACAGTGCTGTTTATGATAACACTGGTATAATTTAAAGCTGTATTCGTTCAGTTTTGGTCACACAACATTGACATATTGTTTCCTCATAAAGGTGATATGACGACGAATGTGTTAGAAAGCGATTACCTATTTACACATCCAGCAGTCCAGCTAGTAAATACATGTGTAATATTCTCTCTCCTTTTAGTGCTGTTGAGCTTTAATATGATGACATTAAAGGTCCCATATTTTACACATTTCATGTGTTTAATTCATAACTAAGTGTGCAGTAAGGATTTAAGACAGTATACTCCTATGTAAACCTTGTTCTCATAGACACCAAATTGCACATTAGAAGTGTAATTACAAATTGCCAAATTTATGGCAACCATAACAAAATGGAGCGTCTTGTTCCAGCCACAAATAGTCAGTCGCTAAATGAGCAACATTAGCGTTATTAATGTGACTATTTGATGTAACCATTTGATTTAATCTAACATTGAATCTTTCAAAGGATGAGTGAAAGAAAATATAAAACTGTAATGCGAAAAGGTTAAAAGACCCTCCCTCTCTCTCTCTCTCAAATGTAGTGTATATCATGAAATCAATATCATGAAATTTTAACTTTAAGGAAACATTGCTAACCTCTTGCTCAAAGACATAGAAAAGTTGCAGACAGATGATGCCTGATAATAAGTCACACGTAATTAATAGAACCTGAATTGGATGAAAAAAAATGTATTGAAAAATACGAGCAAAGAGCGCAGCTAGCTCCTACTTCCTCCAGTCCTCTCCGAGCACCAAATGAGTCTTACCCTGTCCCTGAAGTCGGACTGAGCCACAATATGAGTCATCTATAAACCAAAACACTTTCATAACTGTCCAGACGCACACTGCCAGCAGTTAAATGTGAAGCAGGACGGAAAGTGACAACTATCTTCCATTCGGTCAAGCTTGGAAGGACGTTTAACGCGAAGAGAGGCCGCTGACCTCTTGATGTGAATCCCACATTTGTAAATCAGCCGTTACAAGGTCCACACAACAGGAGGACGCACTCCCATACACATGCAGATATGCACTTGCTCTCAACCCTGAAGCTATTAGCGCTAAGAACTCTGTCACCGGGCGTCTGTCCAAGCTCCGTTGCCAGTTAATATGGAGAGAGTGATATAAACAGGATATTTTAGCAGTTTCCCTTGGAGTTTTGGAGTGAGGGGGGGGGGGTTTAAATGAGAGTGAGAGATGAATTCTACACAAATCACTAGTCCCACGTCTCCTCCCCTTACATGGCGGCGTCCTCCAGCCACCGTAAGCTCATTCATTCCCCTAAAAGGATGCTGCATTTTTCCTCTTGGCTTTGGATATTAGTAGAGCCAAGCCTATTCAAAATAATCCTCCCAAGCTAAAAAAAAAAAAAAAAAAGAAAAAAAAAGGGGATGTTGAAAATTGAGAGTGGGGGAGAAACTGGCAGAGATTTTCGCAGGTCCTCCAGATGTAGCATATTACCATCTGCCTATGGAATGTCAGTTATTTCCAGAGCGTCTATAATAGCTTCCCTAATATGACACACGGCAGCTCCTGGGCCGGAGGGAGTGATGCAGGGGCTTTGGAAGAGGGTGGTGCTGCTCTGATCACCTGCCCAAAAAACGACACCCGAGAGGCCGCACAGAAAAGTGGAAAAAACTTTCACACTCCTCAGGTACTCACTCACGCAAACACTTCTTGGGTCAAAACTCCTGGTGGCAAGTTATGGAGTCATTATACACGGTGTGAGTCCTTCTGTGAGGTGACCGCAGGGGGTTTCTCAGATAAACAGACACCGCCGTGCTTGCCCAGCATGAGCCACGAATTCTGGGTAATATGATTCTTTATAAAACTCTACCATGGCGACGCACCCGATGCGATATTTATTAGTGTAGACTTTGATCTAATGGGAAAACACAGATAATGCTGTGAGAAACGGTTGTTACCTTTAGGTGGGAAGTAGGATTTGCTCTCAGCTTTGTGGGGCCAGTCGACCACCAGGTGCCCGTAGCGACGGAAACTGTTGGTGATTTCATCTGTAAAAATGAAGAGAACAGAAAAAATGAAAAAAAAAAAAAAAACCCCGACATGAATGATTCGTTCACGACATGATAAGATAACATTCACGTCTGTTCATGCAATATGCATATGAAGGACTCTATGTGGAGCCGCAGCCGGTGCTGAGACAGGCACGGTTTCTATTTTTTGCCATGTTCCTGCTGCAGTAGTAGCCACTGCATTAAACAGGAACACGGGCCGAGCACATCCAGTTTGAACTGGGCCGACTCGTGCTGTGGAAACTCATGAATTTTTCAGCCGGCTAAGGGCACGTATTGTGCATCCACTCATGTGCTTGTTCACCGGTGTAGACGCATATGAAAGTAAACATTCCATATTAACCTTAGACTCTGTGACATGCTCCAGAGCTGGTGGAAACAATTACAGGTCTATAACATAACTGGCCGCAGACATTAGACTAAAACATTGCAGGTGACTTTTTAAATATATTTTTGTTTTTATTGGCATTTCTCTGAGGCGTATACTGTACATGTAAAATCAGAAATGACTATGGCTCTGGTCTGGTCACTAAATAATATTTTTACTCTGATAAATTGCCAAAAACGTGGTTATTGGTTAAGACTCATTAGTGTAAAGGTTTTAAACTGCACAACAAAACTAAAACTGTCTAATACAAGTTAACAGTGGCTAAATTCTGAATAAAATTCTTCCCCCAACAAGAATTGTCAAGGTGACCTTAAAATAATTCTTCAACATTTTGGAAAACAGACTTATTATCTTACTTGCTGAGAGTTTGATGACAAGATCTCATAACTATGTGATAATATGAGTCTACCACAGGCAGCTGGTTAGTTTAGCACAAAGAACGGAAACAGGGGGAGCAGCTAACCTGGCTGTGTATGAAGGTAACAACATTATATCTTGTTTTAATCCATACAAAAACCATAGTATCATAGAAACAGCAAGGTGATGTGCCAGACTATTTTTTGGCTGGGGGCAGTTTCCATTCATTTCCAGTTTTTCTGCTATGCTCAGCTAACTCCTGGCAAGAAAGCAAACAAGCATAATGTCAAACTACTCCTTTAACTGTCAAAAGTCTGAGTCATTGCTGTAAAACTTTAAAACTGTACAGCAAACCCAGGCTTTTCCACAGAGTTTTACCATGGCTAAACAGTGTGTAAATGTATTATCCTTAACAAGGAGTGTCAAGGTGCTCTTAAACCAGCCTCAAATAATTCTGTGTAACTGTTAGTGGGCAGAGATCGTGCCGAGAAGCTTCCAGCTGTGTGTCCTTTTGTTTACCTTCATCTATGTCAGGGGGAAGGCCTCCGACGAAGACCTTCCTGGAGTAGCGCTCCATCCTCTCCCCGTTCTGACAGCGGGTTGGCGAGTTCAGGCCCGGGGTCAAGGAGGGGTCACCATGGCCGTCGTCGAGGAAACCATCTTCAAAGGGAAAAAGACAGGAACGACCTGGGAGGACAGGAAAAGAGAAAGACGGACACCAGGAAGACAGACAGGGACAACGGGGGGGGGGAGGGCGGAGAGGTACAAGAGTGTGAAGTAAGAAGGGAGGGAGGGTGTGAGAGATGGAGTGAATTAAACACATCTGGAAAACATTAACGTAGCAAAATCAGTTTGGATATTGAGGTTACAATCACAATTCTGACTAAACTCAGTTTTACAACAATGTGAGATGATTATCTGCCTTTCTTTAACCTCTAAACACATCTAGTCTGACTCTCATTTTATAAATATGCTAAGCTAGAATTATCTCCTCGCCTCCGCCAACCTGTCAAGTTACAGGAAACATGGTCACAATCTCCCCTTCCTGAGTTACAGCGTTGAGTAATGGCCGTATGTGTTTTTTGCAGAACACTATGATGTCACAGTGAAGTTGACCTTTGTCCTTTTGGATATAAAATGTTATCACTTGTCATTTTACCCTGTTCGACATCTGTGTTAAATTGCGTCATAATTAGTGGATTAATTGTTGTTATGGCCAAAAAAAAACGTATTTCGAGGTCACAGTGACCTTGACCTTTTGACCTCAGAATTCTAATCACTTCATCTTTGAGTCCAAGTGAATGTTTCTGCAAAAATGGAAGAAATTCTGTCAGGGCATAACTGAGACATTACGTTCAGGAGAAGAGGACGTACTGTATGTGCATACATTATGTTTTCAGATACTCGGTCCGTACCTGAAAACATAATGCCTCCGGCCACAGATGTTGCCGGCACTGAGGCGTAATAAAACGTGATCAGATTAAATCAGGAAATCTCTCAATACCATGGGATAGATTATTAACACTATAAAAATTCCCAGGTGATCACATCTTCATTTGGTGCAGAGGTTTAAAGGCCACAGCTGCAACTGCAAACTGAAAGTCTCTTATCTTTTCCCACAGATAAAAAAAAAACCATAATGTAGCCAAAAGTATGAGACACCCATGAACATAAAATGTTTCCCAGGTTCCAAATTCATGTTGAAAGCCTTCCCACAGGAGTGGATGGTGATGTTAAAGCAGCATATTAATACCCATGTGTTTAAAATAAGATGTTCAACAATCACATGTGTGTGTAATGTCCAGGTAGCCACATAATTTGCCGGTAATGACAGTGGTTATAGTAAAAGCCTCCCAGTCGGACACATTGAGTCTGCGGAAGTCTAGACAAAACACTGGGAGGTTTCCTCTGGTCTTAATATTCCA